TAATATTGGGGTTTTTTATAAAGTTTGGTTAATTTTATGGTTTAAGGCAAGTTTACTTTATAAAAATAATAGAACCCCTTTTAGAGAAGTTAATAGAAATAGTCATCAAAGTTAAGAGCTAAATATCTGATAATAATGCTTTGAAAAAGTCATTTAAATCCCTTCTGAATGAAAATTTCTCCAAATAACAAAAAACAAAATTCTGCCAATTCAGAATCACCAAGTAAAATTAGATTAGTGAAAAATCATATTGAAATTGATTATAATTAATAGCAATAAATTATTTTGATATGTGAAAGTAATCGTTTATGCTTGTTTGTGTCGACAATGATGGTTCATCACTATTGTCATCATTATTGTCATCATTATTATTCCAGATTAATTCTATAACTTCTTTCTTATTTCTTCAAGATTAGATTTTAAATTTACCATATTAAAATAAATGATGATGACGATTTTGATGAACCCCCACCTGCTGCTACTACTATGAAAATATTGCAACGGAGGTAAGATATTCATTAAAATTTGTTATGTTTAGAATAGCCAGTTGGGGATAACTAAAATTAAACAGAATGTGAAGATATAAAAGAGCTATGCTAGTTTTGTAGGTGTATATTTTGTAACTTATTTAAAATAATTAAAAAATTATATGTAGTCTTACTCAGTTGCGAATTAATTTATTACTAAAAATTATTTGCTAACATCATGATCAATATTCTCACTCTGCAAAATAAAATGAATTAATAATTAATTGATCAATAGTCAATTAACTAATAGTCAATTTTTAAATTTACTCAGCTCATATTTTGCCATCAACAGCACAATCATTTTTTCGCCCAGATGTAATGAGTTATTTTCTGTGCCAAGAAAAGCATTTAATAATGCCCATACAAAACTTTTTGTTGGTCCCATTTACTTTTCCTCTATCACCAGAAAAGGCTTCTCTTGTGATATTTTCAAAGAAAGTCATATCATCATCCTCTTCAATCTCACATAAAGAGTCAAGGGTCTCCTTTGTTGAGTCATTGTCTTTCCACTGTCAATTTAAACTTTTATATTAATAATTTCATCTTTATATTATACAAAATTTAATAAAATATAATTAATATCATATATACCTCTAATATTTGGTTTATTGTTGCATCATGATTGATTTCTTCTAAATTCCGAAATTTTTGAAACAAGCTATATTTAATTTGTCTGATTGCATTACCCCTAGTTGTTCTAAACAATTCTAATGGCTAAGTTTATTAAGAAAAAAAAACTATCAATATTTTTCTAAAAATTTTACAACATTTTTTCTAGAGATAGGTTTAAGGTAAGTACTTACTACACCTCTCAGCTTGTACCAGACTTGTTCCCAATTGTCTTTGTCTTTATACATTCTTACTTCTGGAAAGCAATTTACTAAGACACTATGAACAAAATTTTCAATATCTACATCTGCAGGATATTTTTTCCTAATAAATAGATCCCTTCTAATAATTTTCTATAATAAATAATCGAGGTATTAACAAATTAACATTAATTATCTTAATTATTAAAATAGTTAAAATTTATTATGATTATATTTATACTTTAATGTCTTCTATTACTTGATAAGTGTTATTATTATGATTATTATTATGATTATTATTATAGTTATATCATTGTGGTCTTTTTTGATTTCTTCAATTAAAGATTGGTAAATTTCAAAATATTTAAATTCAAATAAATTGTGCGCATACGTGTAGACTTTATCCTAAACTTTAGTTCATATCTAACTTTTGATTAATGATAATCTGAATAATCTTGGTTAACCAAACAGTAAAGATAAAAATAACGAATATTTGCTACACCAGTTTTTTTTTCTATATATTCAATTGAAAATTAATTGTTACACTGCATAAATTATTGAATTGTTACATTTGATCTGCAACAGTGTGTCCACTCTCATTTACATGAAATGTCAAAATTTTTTTTCGTGATATGAAATATAATTACTCTAGGTAACTTTGTTTCTTATAAAAAGGCAGCGATTTCGATTTAGTCTTATCAATAATTTTATTCTCACAAATAAAATTTATTCTCACAAATAAAATTATATTCTCAAATAAAATTATATTCTCACAAATAAAACCCATCTTCACAAATAAAATTTTTATACAAATAAAAAAAAGAAATCATGAAGTTTATTTTTGCTTTCCTCTTATTTGCTACGCTCTCCATGGTGGTAAATGCTATTCCACATCAACTTCTTAAAAGAGCTCCTTCAATATTTTTTCAATGTCCTGCAATAAAAGCTGGACAAGTAGCACCACCTCAACTTACTGTCGCACTTTCACCTGATCCTCCCGTTCCTGGACAAGTTGATACTTTTAGTATTTCTGGAACACTAAGTCGTCCTGTCGCCAATGGCGACTTTACCGTTGCTGGTTTTTATGATCCTGCAACTAAGAGTATGGTAGGTGATATAAATGCTGCGCCAGCCAGCCCTACAACACCATTTTCTCAAGTATTGAGTGTTAATGTACCAGCAGCATTACCTGCACAATACCTTATTCTAGTTATGGTTGCGAATCCAAAAACTGAGGATATTATAGGCTGTGCAGGCGCTATGGTTGGTGGT